ATGTGCATGCATGTGTGTACATGTGTGTGCGCATGCTGCATGTGTGTGCAAGGGTGTGTGCGTGCACACACCTGCGTGTGTATGCATGGTGTGTGTACATGTGTGTGCGTGTGCGTATGTGTGCATGGGTGTGTGTGCGCGCACCTGCGTGTGCATGCATGGGGGTGTGTGTGCATGGGTGTGTGTGTGTGCGTGTGTGTGCATGGGTGTGTGTGCATGCACCTGCGTGTGCATGCATGGGGGTGTGTGTACATGGGTGTGGAGGGGTGCATGTGTATGTGTGTGCATGGGTGTGTGTGCACGCACCTGCGTGTGCATGCATGGGTGTGTGTGTGTGCATGGGGGTGTGGTGTGTGTGATGGGGTGTGGACTCTGAATGTCTTTCCAGCCCTGGGATCTGAGGCTGAAGAGTCGTGAGACACGAACCACAGGGAGCAAACAGCCCAACAGCAGCCAGCCCTCCCCACTTCCGGAAGCGTCTGCTGGTCTGGGGAACCCGGTCCCCGGGAGGCAGGTGTGGGCGAGTGAACTGGGACTGTAAGGCCTGTGAGGGGCTGCGGAAGGGGAGGGGAGGGAGAGGGAGAGAGGGAAGAGGAAAAGGAAGGGGAAGGGGGAAGGGAGAGGGGGAGGGGAGGGGGTAAGGGGAAGAGGAAAAGGAAGGGGAAAGGGGGAGGGGGAGGAGGAAGGGAGGGGAAGAGGGAGGGGGGGAAAGGGGAGGGGGAGGGGAGGGGAAGAGGAAAAGGGAAGGGAAAGGGGAAGGGGAAGGGGAAGGAAAAGGGGAAAGGGGGAGGGGGAGGGGGAGGAGAGGGAAAGAGGGAGGAGGAGAGGAGGGGAGGGGGAGGGGAAGGAAAGGGGAGAGGGAAGAGGAAAGTGAAGGGGAAGAGGAAAGGGAAGAGGAAAGGGAAGGGGAAAAGGAAGGGGAGGGGAAGGGGGAGGGGAGGGGAAAAGGAATGGGAAGAAGAAGGGGGAGGGGAAGGGGAAGGGGGAGGGGAAGGGGAGGGGAAGGGGGAGGGGAAAAAAAGGGGGAGGGGGGAGGGAACACGAAAGGGAAGGGGGAGGGGGAGGGGAAGGGGAAGAGGGAAGGGGAAGAGGAAGGGGAAGGGGAATGGGAAGAGGAAGGGGAAGGGGAAGGAGAAGAGGAAAGGGAAGGGGGGAAGGGGGAGGAGGAGGGGAAGGGGAAGGGAAAAATGAAGGGGAAAGGAAAGGGGGAGGAGGAGGGGAAAAGGGAAGGGGAAGGGCAAGGGGCAGGAGAGAGGGAAGAGAAAGGGGAAAAGGAAGGGGAAAGGAAAGGGGGAGGAGGAGGGGGAAGGGAAAGGAGAAGGGGAAGAGAAGAGGAGGAGGAAGGGAAAGCTGAAGTGGGGAAGGGGAAGGGGAAAAGGAATGGGAAGAGGAAGGGGAAGGGGAAGGAGAAGAGAAAAGGGAAGGGGGAGGGGGAAGGAGAAGGGGAAGGGGAGAGGGAAGGGAAAGGGGAAAAGGAAGGGGAAAGGAAGGGGGGAGGGGGAGGGGAAGGGGAAGGAGAAGGGGAAAAGGAATGGGAAGGGGAAAGGGAAGGGGAAGGAGAAGGGGAAGGAGAAGGGAGGGGGAAGGGGAAGCTGAAGTGGGAAAGGGGAAGGGGAAAAGGAATGGGAAGGGGAAGGGGAAGGGGAAGGAGGAGAGGAAAGGGAAGGGGAAAGGGAAGGGAAAAGGAAGGGGAAGGGGAAGGGGAAGGGCTGGCCTGGGCTGCACCCGCCTTTGCTGGGTGTGATTCTGTGGAGGATGCAGGAGGCAGGAGCCCAGGGACCACGTGTGGAGGCGGAGCCTGGGCTCAGAGCTCCCCCACCGGGCAGCCCCGGCCTGCACGCCTGGCCGCCGGGGAGAGGGGTGGGACAGTCCCCGGTGTAGAGCCCGGGACAGACCCTCATCTGTGCTGTCTGCCTCGTCTCCCGTCAGTGGACAGGATGCTGAGCAGCACTTCCAGCTCCACTTACAGAGAGAAATCCATGGTCTCATACGTGGGGCGTGGTGCTCTGAATGTCTTTCCAGTCAGGACCGGAGGCTGAAGCACGGAACAAGCCGGTGGTGTGGCTGTGGCTGAGCGTGGACCTGTGAGCCAGGAGGCCACGGTCAGGGCACAGGCCCGGGTCGCAGGCTCCATCTCAATCCGGGGGCGTGCAGGAGCAGCCGAGCCCTGAATCTCTCATCATGGATGTTCCCACCTCTCCCTCTCCCTCTCCCTTCCTCTCTAGAATCAGTAAAATGTTTTAAAAAGCAAGAACAGAGTGGGCCTGGGGGCTCAGCACGGCCACAGCCATGACCGCGTGCAGGCGTGCACTCGTGTTGAACATGTGAACGCAGCCAGGAGCCCGGGTCACAGGAAGGCGGGTCCTAGAGCCGCGTCCGGCGAGGGAGGCTTACTGCGGGGACCCCTTCCCGTCATACCAACACCCGGTCGTGTGCTGCTCACCTGACCCTAACATGTCATTTGTGCCTCAATAAAAAAATACATTTACAATATAATATATATATATATATATGTATAAAGAGGTAATATGCAAATTGTCTGGGACGCCGTGACGTCACGACCGCTCAGGAGGAGGCTGTGCGCGGTGAGGCAGCCTGGACGGCACAGCCCGGAGAAGAGGCTGCCAGCCCGGCGTGCCAGCTTCCCGCCTCTGTGCGTGAGCTGCTGAGGAAACCCCTTTTCTGGCCGCTCATTGGCTGAGCTCCTGTACGCTGCCTCGCGCAGTGTTCTGGTAACTTGGGTAATAAGAATCCAAGAAGGTGAGCTAGGGTTTTTCCACTGCACTCCTGGAGGAAAAATGCAGGTCTGCTGCTGGAGGGGCTAAGAAAGATCTGGCTCAGTGGATAGAGCCTCGGCCTGCTGACTGCAGGGTCTGGGTTCTATTCTGGTCCAGGGCATGTGCCTAGGTTGCAGACTCCTCCCTGGCCGGGGCACAGGTCAGGGCTCATGCAGGAGGCAACCAATCAAAGTGTCCCTCTCACACTGATGTCTGTCTTTCCCACTCTCTTCCATGCCCTCTAAAAACCAATGGAAACATATCCTCAGGTGAGGATTAAAAAAAAAAGTCATATCCTTTGAAAGACACATCTTGAAAATGCCAAAAGTATGTCATTTTTTTCGTGCTGAAGGGACTGGACTCCGTGTTGATGAAAACACCTTGGCGGCTGCAGTGGCCGGCAGTGGCAGCAGCAGCAGCAGGATGATGGGGCAGCACCTTCCCCTGATCAGCAGGTCACCTCCTGCAGGGGTGGCCAGACTGAGGCTTAGGGAGGCCTTAGCCGCCAGTAGGACATCCCCTGAGGCTCCGGACTGTGAGAGGGGGCGGGCTGGGCTGAGAGCTCTCCCCCCCCTCCCCGCACAAACTTCCATGCACCAGGCCTCTAGTCTTTCATAAAAAGCTTCCACCAGCTCAGCTCTCCTTGGAGGACCGTATTCTTTAGTGGCAAGAGAAACATTCCAGAACCTTCTCCTGTGCTCTGCCTGCTGACGGCTCCCAAGGACCCAAAAAGGCACAAGGCTGTCCAGACGCTTTTCAATCATTTTATTGTTGGACTGACAGGCATTTACATCATTCCATTCATAGACCTAAAAACACAAAAATAGACCTTCTTTCCGCTTATAAAAGAAATATATAAGAACTTTGGACATGGACACGTCATGACCTATGTACACGCGACACGGCGCCCCTGCACGCACCCCCTCCCCTCTGCTCTCCGCGGACCCGCTGCCCGGGGCCCGAAGTGGCCACAGCAGCCTGGCTCCCCTTCGTCCCACACACCCACAGGCACGGCGTGGACAGTGCGGAGACACGAGGGGCATAGCCACAGCGTTTTCAGGAAATCAGAAGACAGAGCAAGAAGCCAAGAGGGTCAGAAGGTTCCAGAGACCAAGCGGGAAGCCGGCGGGAGCAGAAGCAAGCGGGCGCGAGCGAGCCAGCCAGCCGAGCTCTCTACGTCTGCGAATATAAAGTCACGGGATCTGTATAAAAGGGAGCCGGGAGCGGCTATAAAAGGCAGGCCTTTACAGTACCTACTGATGTGTCAAACACCAAATAGATAGCCCCCAAAAAAGAAAGTTTTTATATTATTTAAACCCCTCTTAGGAAGTGGGCATTGTGAAAGGGGGGCAGGGGGAAAAGCTATAAACCTTTTCTTTAAAAAAAATAATAAATCGAAAGTGCTTTAACTTGTGTTGTCCCTACTTGGAAACCGGTGTAGATAGAGGGTTGGTGCTTGGCGTGTTTACCCTGTTTTGTTGGCATGAAGAAGGCGTCACACAGACGTGTTTTGGGAAGAGGTGAGGCTGCGGGTGGTGGGGAAGGGCGGGCACTCTGGGGATGAGATGTAACTCTGGTGGACAGCCCACGGTCACCATGGCAACCCCTCCTCCCTGCAGCAGACACACGGGCTGCCCCGGGGTGTCCTGTGTGGCCCCCCGGGGCCCCTTCCACGGGGCCCAGCAAACACGCACACCAGCCCTCGGGGCGGGCACCCCGCCGGCCTCGCACATGGAAACACAGAGCCCCCGCTCTCTCTGCAGGAGGCACCCACTGCCACTCGCGTTCCGCTCCTGCCTCGCAGGCAAAATACAAAAAATAGCATCTATTTCTTCAAGTGACTCGTGGCTCTCTCAGAGTTTGGCATCTTTATAAGGAATTCTCTGCAAAACTAGACCTTCCCACCTGGCCCCCAGGAGGGACAATGGCTCATAGGACGCGCCCGGGACCCCTCCCAGAGGGGGGCATGCAGCCCGGTCTGGTTTCCTGGTTCCCGGCCGGAAGCTCCCACTCCACTCTCCCGCCCGAATGGAGTCCGTGGTTGGGAGGGAGGAGCAACGCAGTCCGGTGTCGGGGTGACCTGGGGTGACCGGGGCGCGGCTCCGCGCACAGTCAGCCGCCAGCGCTGTGTGTGCCAGAGCCGCCCCGGGGGCACCCCGTCCTGGGGCAGCCCGCCCGGGGGCCGGAGGGCGGGTGGGGCCAGGGACCTACGCTCCGGGCCGGTCAGATCTCCGTGCTCAGCGCCCCGGGCGCGGCCAGCTCCTCCCGCCGCACCCAGACCACCTCGGGGCCCGCGGGCTCGGGGCCGCCGCCCGGCAGCGCCGCCTGCTTCCTGAGCTGCGCCATGCGCGCCGTGTGGCCGTCGGGGCCGCCGCGGTCCCGGCCCCGCGGGCCCAGGGAGGCCGCCTGCAGCCGCCCCGCCAGGCCCGCCCCGGCGCCCGGGGCCTCGGCGGCGTTGCCGTCGTCATCGCTGAGGATGTCGGTCTCCGGCAGGTCCTCCGGCTCCTCCGGCTCCTCGTAGGGCGCCAGGTCGAACTGCTCCTCCACCCAGCGGTCCGTGTCGGCGCCGGGCGGCCGCTCGGGACTGCCGGGCACGGCGTCCGCGTCCACGGTGAACCTGTTGCGGGCCAGGCGCCGCCTCCTCCTGCCCAGCGACCGGCTGGGCGCGGACACTGCGCAGCACAAGAGACAGACACGCCTTACCCCGGGCCAGGAGGGGGGGCTCCCTCTCCCGGGCCCGGCAGGCAGGGCGGCCCACACCGGGGGAGGGCCGCGGGCCGGTCCCGCTGTCTGGCCTCCGGGGGGCCGGTCCCGCTGTCTGGCCTCCGGGGGGCTCGGTCCCGCTATCTGGCCTCCAGGGGGCTCGGTCCCCCTGTCTGGCCTCCGGGGGGCTCGGCCCCGCTGTCTGGCCTCTGGGGGGCTCGGTCCCCCTGTCTGGCCTCCGGGGGGCCGGCCCCGCTGTCTGGCCTCTGGGGGGCTCGGCCCCGCTGTCTGGCCTCCGGGGGGCCGGTCCCACTGTCTGGCCTCCGGGGGGCTCGGTCCCGCTGTCTGGCCTCCGGGGGGCTCGGTCCCGCTGTCTGGCCTCCGGGGGGCTCGGCCCCGCTATCTGGCTTCCGGGGGGCTCGGTCCCACTATCTGGCCTCTGGGGGGCTCGGTCCCGCTGTCTGGCCTCCGGGGGGCTCGGCCCCCCTGTCTGGCCTCTGGGGGACTCGGTCCCGTTATCTGGCCTCCGGGGGGCTCGGTCCCCCTGTCTGGCCTCCAGGGGGCTCGGCCCCGCTGTCTGGCCTCCGGGGGGCTCGGTCCCCCTGTCTGGCCTCCAGGGGGCTCGGCCCCGCTGTCTGGCCTCCGGGGGGCTCGGTCCCCCTGTCTGGCCTCCGGGGGGCTCGGTCCCGCTATCTGGCTTCCGGAGGGTCCCGCTATCTGGCCTCTGGGGGGCTCAGTCCCGCTGTCTGGCCTCCGGAGGGCTTGGTCCCGGTCCGGGGACCGCAGCTGGGTGGAGGGTGCGCCTCCTCGCACAGAGCCAGCGGGGAGGGCTCCCGAGCTCCCTGTGGTGAGGGCGCTGCCTCCGAGGAGCCCTGTGCCTGCGAGGGTCCCCCCTGACCATGGCCCGTGTCAGCCATGTCCCCCTGGCAGCGCCATGGAAACACCGGGGCCGGGGCAACGATAAAGAGGGCCGCCCGGACAGGGGATGGGCAGAGCTACAGGGACACCGTTAGTCTGCGCTCACCCTGCAGCACCCACCCCCTCTGGGGCCTGCACCCACCCCCCTCTGGGGATCAATCGGATAGACAAACAGAAGACGCCACCCAATCAATCAAGCCAAAGCACACATACACGCACACACATGCACACGAGACAGACATGAGGACGCTGCTGCCCCCTCTTGGCGAGATGTGGCTGCTGCGCCAGCATCGCCCAGGGGATGGCCGTGCTTCCGGCACCCTCCCCACGTGGTCCAACCAGCAGGGGATGGAAACCAGTTCCAGGGGAAAAGGGAAAACGGAGAAAGCAGCTGCTGCCTCCACTGGGAACAGCAGCCACCCGCCCCCGTTACCCACGGACCCGCCACCGGAAAGGCCCCCTGGGAGCAGCAGCCACTCGCTCCCGTTACCCACGGGCCCGCCACCGGAAAGGCCCCCTCAAAACTGGCGACAAGACGCCGCCCGTGACCACGTGCGGAGTGTGCAGGGGCGCAGGGTGCCGTGTCTGAATCTCAGAAACGTGTCCACAGCACGGTGAGCTGATGGGTGACAGGCGGATAGATGTGTGGTCGTGAAAGCACAGAAAAACACCAACTCCGAGAGTGAGGCTGAATGTGCACGGCCCCCCGCGGGCTGCGTGGACGTTTCCCGGGGACGCAGTGGGAAGAACAGAGATGTCTAATGGGGGCTGGCCACACGGAGCGCCATGGTCACTGAGCTCAGTAACCACAGACAGGGGACATGCCTAATGGAGAGGGACTCTCCTTAACCAGGACACGTGACCACCCAGCTGCCGGGGGCCGGGAGGCGCTGGCTGGTATCCCTGTGGTCACGGTTAATGCTGACCAGCGGTCTGTGCTGACCACTCACGCGCCTTTTCTACATCGTCTAGCCCAGCGGTCGGCAAACTCATTTGTCACCAGAGCCAAATACCAACAGGACAACGATTGACCTTTCTCTGGAGAGCCACGTTTTTTAAACTTAAACTTCTCCTAACGCTACTTCCTCAGCATAGACTGGCCCAGGCCACGGTGTTTTGTGGGAGAGCCACACTCAGGGGGCCGAAGAGCCGCCGGTGGCTCTTGAGTCGCGGTTTGCTGGCCCCGGGTCTAACGCGAGCACGGCCAACAGCGAGGAGCGCCGCACGCAGCGCAGGGAGGACACGCTGCTCTCGGACACAGGGCGGGCACAGGGCGGGCACAGGCAGGGAGGCCCAGGCTCGGACACGCTGCTCTCAGCCGAGGAGCAGGGGGGGGGCTGGCTTTCTCCTCCGCCGGGACCTCGGGGAGAGATGTGCCCGGTGATGGACGCTCCGCGTGGCCTAAACTCGGTGTTCACCGTCAGAACACAGAGGCTCCGGGACGGCAGCTAGAGGCGGGCGGCCATGTTCCCGTCCTAACAAGACACGCCTGGCAGAGACAATTCCCAGGAAACACTCCCCATGGAGGGCCAGCCGGGCTTTCCGCAGGGACCGTGGGGGCCTGGACGTGGGGTGCGCACGACGTGGGGGCCACGGGGGCCCGGATGGCCTGGTGCCCCTGTGGGTGGAGATAGGTTCGAGGGCCACCCTGCCGTCTGTAGGGGAGGGTGGGAGGGGAGGTCTGCTGCAGCCCGCAGGCTGTCCCGAGCGCGTCACCACCCCGGCCTGGGCCACCTCACCACACAGACGCAGGGGAGCGGACAGAGGCACACCTCTCAGACACGCAGGGAGCCTCTTAGGAAAGGGGTGACCCAGTGTGAGCACCCCGATGTCAGGGAAGCGCCTTCCCACCAGAGACGCAGTGCTCACTCTGACGGAGCCTGGGCTCGGCCCGTTAACCTGCACCCTCTCCAGCGGCGGCTCAGGGGCCCGCATGGCACCGGCTGCAGACACAGCGGCGGGCACAGGCAGGGGCGCGAGGCGGGCAGGCACCAGGCTCCACACGGCCGCCTCTGCACAAGTCACAGAGCCACCACGTCCCCAGGGGGTGCTCCCGCTCCAAAGCTGGCGCCATGCAAAGCGGGGGGCCCCACCCGCAGGCCGCTGCCTCCCCGGGGGGGTGTCAGCCCCGGGCCCCGGCCCGGGGTGAAGAGGCTGGGCGGCCGGGGAGAGACGGGGAGCCCGGGAACAAGAGGAGCCAGCGCAGCTCTGACCCTGGGGCCGGGCAGGCGAGGCCCTCACCCGGGACCCGCGGCGCCGGCCCCACGGCCACGGCCACGGCCACGGCCACGGCTACGTGTCGCCCACGAGGACGGCGGCTGCCTCGGCTGCGCGGTGGCACGGGGGTGGCGGGGCCCGGGCGGGCGGCGCGCCCACAGTACCTGCCCTGCTCATGGCCGGCCGGGCCCCCTTGAGCGCGCACAGCCGCCGGCCTCCGAAGGGGACGTACTGCTGGGACGAGGGCAGGCTCTCGGCCTTGAGCAGCTGCCGCCGGTGCTTGTCCCGCAGGACTGAGTGCACGGCCTTCAGCAGGTCCTTGCGGCTCTTGGGGGAGCTGTGGGGAGGGCACGTGTTAGGAGACAGAGAGCCGGAGCGGTCACAGGGGCCCCAACCAGCCCGAGGACCGAGGTGAAGGGAGGCGGCTCCAGCCCAGGCCCAGCCCAGCTGTGTGCCTGGGGGGATGGGGCTCCCGCCCCCCATCTGAGCACAGCCACACCCACACCCCGCCCCCTGAGCAACACACACACCCATGCCACACCCCGAGCAGTGATGCCACGCCCCACGCATGGCCACGCCCTGCCACGCCCCTGCAGGGATGCGCACCCCCGCCCGCCCGCGCACAGTGGCTCACCCGCAGCACAGGTGGAACACGCGCTCCGGCCTCCCCTCTGACTCGGACTTGACGTGGACAATCTCGCACGCGGTGTCGGCGTCCGCATCTGGAGGGTCAAGAGTGGGTGAGGGCGTGTCCGGGGCTGGTGGGCACCTTCACCCACACTTTCCAGCTGGGCCAGCGACTGGCAGAACAGAGCGGCGGAGACGGCTCACCCCGGCCGGGCCCGAGCCGGCGCGGCCAGTGAGGCTGCGACTGCCCACGCTCCCGTTCTCACACCCACTGTGTGTACTTCATGGCGAGGGCATGCGGCTGGCTTCATCACGTCAAATAAAACAGCTCTGCCCGGCTGGCGTCGCTCAGTGGCTGAGAGAAAACCCCGCACCAAAGTCCTGGGTTCGATCCCAGTCAGGAACGTGCAGGAGCAGCCAACTGACGCTACCTCTCTCTCCCTCCACCTCCTCCCTCTCTGAAATCAAAACTTTTTTTAAAAAAAGCTTCTATCTTGACGGAAGGAGAAAAAGAGGGTGAGGATGGAGTGTCCGATCACAAGAAGGCTTTGTCTCCCAAAGGCAGTGCAGATGCATCCCATTCTCTGTGACAGCCATGCCCCTGCTGACCACAGGCCTCCATCCAGCCGGCACCAGGAAACCCGCCGCCGGCAATTCACAGTCCCCACCGACAGGCAGGACAGCGCCAGCCCTGGGTGCCCGGAGCTGAGCACATCATGCAGCTGCCTGCGTACGGCTCCCGAAAACCCAGGCATCAATCAGCTTCACAATGTAAAGGCCCGAGGCCCGAGGGGAACCCTGTGAGCTGGAAGGCTGACACCCCAAACCCGTGCCCGGCGTGAGAGCGCACTCCCACGGCCCACGCACGGCTGCGGGGAAGGAGCTGCCTCCAGCTCAGTTTGGGGGGGTCGCCGAGGTTCACCAGCGATCGGACAAGGGGTGCTGTGTGAGGATCGCCCCCCACAGTGCTCCTCGCGGGTGTGCCCAGGAGAGCCATGGCCTCAGGTTACGCCCCGGCAGCCGGGGGCAGAGCCGGCCGCTGCCACCCCGCCGGCAGAAGGCATTGCCTTAGTGAGCACACTGGCTGCTGCCAACATGGCCCTCGCCGCTGCCTGATCGCAGAGAAAGGACCGGCCCACAGCCTTCACACCAACACCGAGGGAGAGCATGTGCGTGCATGTGCCTGTGTTGTGTGTGTGTGCGTGTAGTGTGTGTGTGTGTGTGTGTGTGGTGTGTGTGTGTGTGTGTGTTGGGGGAAATACATTCCATGACCTTTTTTTCCTATTTTTTGTTTTTCTCTCTCCCTCTTCTCCCTCTCCCTCCCCACTGCACTCCGAACCCCACGGCCTTTCTGTGCTCTGGGCCTTCGGGGTCCCGGGTAAAAGGCAGTGAGGCATTCCCCTGGACCCACTGCTTCTGGGCTCAGTGCTCTCCGGGAGGGTCCCTGTGACACTGACGCCTCAGACTCACGCTGAGGCCTGGCACCCGCTCACTCGGGCCCGCACCCCCTCACGGGGTCGGCCATGGCGGGAAGTCAGAGCTGTGGAGAGACTGGGGGCGGCGGGGACGCGTCTACCTGCACTGGCCACGGCACGCAGCTGCAGCGCCTCCGTGGGGATCATGTGCCGGAACCGGAAGGGGTCCCACTCCTCGTAGATGGAGAGCCTGTGGGAGCCGACCTGCGGGAGGGGCGGCGCTGAGAACCGGCTCTCCGGCCGGGCCGGGCCGGCCCCATCGACCCGCCGCAGAGCGAGGGGCCTGTGACGTGTGTGCTCAGGCACAAACACGTCTGTCAGCACGGCCAGGGGCCAGGACCCAGCACCGAGGAGGGCGGGGACCCCGACAGGAACAGAGGGACAGTGTGGGAGGCTCAGACCATGCAGGCGGGCACTGGCCTGATCCCTCAGCAACGTAAATACAAAGAAAGAGGGGCCGTGAGCAAGTCCCAGGGGGTCCCCCGAAGTGAAGGGCAGGACCCCACTCGCGAGGCAGCCCCGGGAAGCAGAGGGAAGGGGGCCCGACAGCCCGGGGGGGGGGGGCGCTCCTTACGAGCCTCCTCTTCTGCTTGGGGCCGTCCTTGTACACGAGGACCACGGCCGTTTTGAAGACTGGAAAGAACACGCAGGAAGGGTTACGGCGGGCGAAGGGGGTGTCCTGTCCGCTTCCTCCTCGCGGTGGCGAACATGAGGTGAGGAGGACGGCGAGGTCCCAGGGCCCCCCTCCCCCTCGCTCATCCTCAGTCTTAGACCCTCAAAGGCCCCCGAGTTAAAGCGTCCCGGAGGCAAACCCAACGGGGACCCAGGGGATGGGAGGCCTGCGCCGGCGGCAGCTCCGGGAAGCAGGGTGTTCTAACGGGGCTCCGTTCCCTAACGACAACAACGGGCGGACTCGGGGGCAGCTGGAGGATGCAAACGTCTTTAATAATAATAGCCTAACCGGTGTGGCTCAGTGGGTAGAGCATCAGCCTGAGGACTGAAGGGTCCCAGGTTCGATTCTGGTCAAGGGCATGAGGCACAAGTGTGAGTCGCCTTAGCAACTGCATTATTATTACTTTAAATGTATTTTATTGATTTTTCACAGAGAGGAAGGATCAGGATAAAAAGTCAGAAACATCGATGAGAGAGAATCACCGATCAGCTGCGTCCTGCACACACACCAACCACTGGGGATGTGCCCGCAACCAAGGCACATGCCCTTGACTGGAATCGAACCTGGGACCTTTCAGTCCACAGGCCGACGCTCTATCCACTGAGCCAAACCGGTCGGGGCCTAACTTTATTTTCATAAATGGTGCCTGGCAAAGAGAGGGTCATATTTTGAAACTTAAGCCAGAACCCCTAACACCTGCCCTCCCCACCCGTCCATTCCCCCCACACACCCCCACTCACCGAAGGCGGCCAGCTCCGGCTCCTTCTTCCACTTGCCCAGCGAGGCGGGCGGGTTGGGCCAGGTGACGGTGGTGTGCAGCAGCAGGTCCCCCATGCTCAGGTCGGCCACCTGCGGGCCAGACAGGCAGCTCACGGCGGGGCCACAGATGCGCCGGCTGCCCGGCACATGCCCGGCGGCGGGGCCACGTCTACGTCACAGAAACACTGTCTCCAAACACGCAGCTCACTCCCCCCCCACCCGCGTGTCTCAGGAGCCTCAGGAACAAAGCGGGAGAGACGCAGACCAGCTCTGGGACTCCCCAGCGGCAGACCTGCCCAGAGACGGCAGCTCGGGGGGCCAGGGGGAAGGCAGGGCCCGCGATGGGACTGCCGTGTCTCTGCTCCATCAGCCCAGGCCCCGGCCCCTCCAAGGTGGGTCTGTCTGTCTTCCCTGCCCTGCACCTCCTCCCGGGAGGTGCGAGCCCTTCCCCGTGGCTCCCACTGTCCTTCCACGGCCACTCGCTGAGCCCTGCTCCGAGCAGTCAGTCCGCACCCCGAGGAGGCTGATGCGTTTAGAACGAGCAGGCTGCGAGGGTGGAGTCCCGTCCCCCCCCACACACACACACACACACACACACGCCACACCCAGGCCCCGCCCACAGGCGCCCACACGCTCCTCCTAGGAGTCCAGCAGCTGCGAAAAACGCACTGCAGTGGGATGGGGCAGAGGCCACCAGCGACACCGGCCCCGGCCACGGCTGTTTCACACCCACGGCCCTTCCCCGGCCACGGCTGTTTCACGCCCACGGCCCTTCCGTGGCCGGGTGCCCGGGGCCTCACCTCCTTCTTCTCTCCCGTCTGCTCCGCGATCAGCTGGTCGAACACGGCCCCGAACTCCTCGTGGATCTTCTGCATCTCGTTGATGTGGCTGGCCACCTTGTTCATGGTCTTGATGGCCACTGGGGGCAGGGCGGAGGGAGAGGCCAGGGGTGAGGCTGGAAGCCGGGGGGGAGGGGTGGGAGGGGTGGGAGGGCGTGGGAGGTGTGTGCGTAGGGTTTTGTGGGCGGGATTGTGGGTGGGGCTCACATGAGCCGTGGGGGAGGGGGGTAATAGGTGGGATCATGGGCTATGGGTGGGGTCATTAGCGGGGTTGCTGGCCACGGGCGGGACTGTGGGTGGGGCATCAGCAGTGGGCGGGGCCCCAGCAGTGGGCAGGGCATTGGGTGGGAGCAGCAGTGGGCGGGGGCCAGCAGTGGGTGGGGCAGTGGGCGGGGCCCAGGCAGTGGGCGGGGCCGGGGCCGGGGCCGGCCCGCGCTCACCGTCCAGGTGGTAGTGCTCCTCGCTGTCCACGTGCGTCAGCGCGAAGAGCTCGCGCAGCAGCAGCGGGTACTTGAGGACCCTCTGGATGGGCTTGATGAGGTACGACTCCAGCGTGGCCGAGTGCTGCTGCCGCGGGTTCTGCGCGTCCAGGAAGGCCTTGAAGGCCGCGTCCGTCCTGGCTGCGAGGACACAGCCCATGGGGGGCGGCCCGGGGCGCTCCCTGCCCCGCTCCCTGGCCCGCTCCCTGCCCCGCTCCCTGCCCGCTCCCCGCCCTGCTCCCCGCCCCGCTCCCCGGGGCCTTTCCCCGACAGGATTTCCATGGGGAGGCAGAGCGGGGAGCGGCCCAGGCCCGGCCCAGGCCCTCGGGGCAAACACCGGGGTGAGGGAGCGGGGGACGGAGGTGTGAGCCCGGGCACCTGGGTCCGCTGCTCCCCCTCCCGTCCTCAGGCCAGAAACACGGCCCGGGCACTGCCATCCCCATGGGGTGGGTCCTCGCCGTGAGCGCCCGTCCCCCGTCCCCAGGCCGGCCGGGGAGAGCCACAGGCCGTGCTTCTGTCCTCGCAATCGTCCCTCCACCCTCCATCTCCATCTCCTACACACACACCCCCACACACACACACATGTGTGTACACACATACACACTCTCACACACCCACACCCACATACACACTCACACGTGCGCACACACATGCACGCTCACACACACACATACATTCTCACACACGCTCACACACACGCGCAAACACATGTGTGCACACTCACACGCACACACAGGCACACACTCACACATACACACGCTCTCACACACATGTGCGCGCACGCATGCACATGCACACATGCAAACGTGCATGCACACTCACACACGCACACACAGGCACGCTCACACACGCGCAAACATGCGTGCGCACACTCATACACACATGCACACGCTCGCACACATGCATGCTCTCGCACACATGTGCACACGCACATGCACACATGCAAACGCGCATGCACACACACACACACACACACACACGGGCGCGCGGCCGTCAGGAAAACGCAGGCCCAGCCCGGCGGTTCGGAGACCGCTGGAAGTAACGATAGCACCTCCGGTGAGGACTAGGCCGAGATAAGGGAAATCTGCAGGGGCCGGCGGTCCAGCTTAAAAGTCACAGGAAGCGCTCTGGGCGGCCCTGGGACGCCCGTCACTGAGGAGCCCGGCTCTGGAGCCGGCAGGCCCTCAGCCGGCACTCAGGCCGCGTGTGAAGAGGCTCCGCCCGCGGCGAGGCCCGGCCGCCTGTGAGCCGGGAGGCCAGGGCACAGGCCCGGGTGCGGGCCCATCCCCAGTGAGGGGCCTGCAGGAGGCGGCCCGTCCATGGCTCTCTCATCATGGATGTCTGTCTCTCTCCCTCTTCCTTCCTCTGACATCAATAAAAATGTATTAAAAAAAAAAAAAAAAAAGATACACACGCAGGACTGCACGCCTGACACAGCACACATGGGAAAAACAGCCAGACGGGTCCCAGCTTCCCTCCGAATCCGCTGCCCCTGACTCGGCAGACTCACTGCCACGGAGGATGCAGGCTGTCTGATCCAGACCCGCCTGGTGCCAGCATGTCCCGTGACAGGTGTTAAAGCACAACACGTGTAAACCATGCACACACCAGCAGCTGCTCATGTGCAGCCACGTGAGGGGTGGGAGGTGCGGGGCAGGGGGTGTGGTGGGGAGGTGTGCGGGGAGGGTGGGGAGAAGTGCTGGGGAGGAATGGTGAGGGAGATGTGGGGAAGGGGGGAGGTACGGGGAAGGGTGATGGGGAGGGGAGAGGGAGGGGTGGGAGGGAGGCATGAGGGAGGGGGAGGACACGGCTGGTATCTGAGATGCCCTGAAATCCATTCCCGTCCTTAAGTGACAAGGAAGCGCTTCCCTGGCCTCTTCTCTGGCACCAACGGGCCGGGGAGGGGCCGGGAGGGGCTGGGGAGGGGCCGGGAGGGGCCGGGGAGGGGCCGGGAGGGGCCAGGAGGGGCCGGGGAGGGGCCGGGGAAGGGCCGGGAGGGGCCGGGAGGGGCTGGTGCAGCGCAGCAAACTGCCTTGGGGACCCCAGATGCCCGCCCCCCGGGCCATGGGGGTGCCGCTGTGAAAGCCCCCATTCTGTGCACACAGCGCTGCAGCCCGAGTTTCCGGGAGGAGCTGGGCCACGGTGCGGACGTGCGGACGGACGGACGGACGGACGGACAGGCCACAGCGCGGCCTTGGAGAGGCGGGGAGGGAGGAGGCAGCCAACAGGGATGGGGGGCATCTCTAAGCCGGTCTTTTCCTCATAACTGCCGAGACCCCTCAATTCCGGACCAAACAGCTCAGACGGACGCTCGTCATCGGGACACGGACCCGGCGAGCCCGGCCCCGCGCTGGTCCTTCCTCAGCCTCGTCCGCTGCCCCCTCCGGGACCCTCCGCCCTGGCCCAAGAGCTCCCGCTCCCCCACCCCCGGCCCAGGCCACGGCCCGCCCCCGCCTACCTTTCACCAGCACCTTGGGCACCTTGGTGTGGCTGGCGCAGAAGGCGCTGTACAGCTTGAAGCGGTCGGCGTAGTACAGGAAGGAGCCCCCGAGGGAGAAGAGCACCTTCTGGATTTGACGGAAAAGCCTGGTCAGTTCCTGTGCCACCCCGTCCACCTCCCCCTCAGCACCGCCACCCCGTCCCCCTCAGCACCGCCACCCCGTCCCCCTCAGCACCGCCACCCCGTCCACCTCCCCCTCAGCACTGCCATCCCATCCCCCTCAGCACCGCCACCCGTCCAGCCTCCCCCTCAGCACCGCCACCCCGTCCAGCCTCCCCCTCAGCTGCTGAAACTGGCCCCTAAGCACGGGGCTCCACACTTGGGCGACGGGTCTTGGGTTTGGCCTTTTCAGTAATTATAATGCGGATGCCAGTTTTCTCGGCCACTGTTACCTGTGTTTTTAAAATGTGTTTTTATTTCAGAGAGGAAGGAAGAGGGAGAGAAGCATCGATGAGAAAGTCATCGATCGGCTGCCTCCTGCACACCCACACTGGGGATCGAGCCCACAACCTGGGCCTGAGCCCTGACCAGGTATGGAAGCAAGACTTCCTGGTTCATGGGTCGATGCCAATCCCCAAGCCACGCGGCCGGGCAGCCGGTGACTGAAGGGCCGGTGGGGTGTGGGGTGTGGGGTGTGGGGTGGAGTGTGGGGTGCGGTGTGAGGTGTGAAGTGTGGGGTGGGGTATGGGGTGCGGTGTGGGGTGTGGGGTGGGGTGTGGGGTGCAGTGTGGGGTGTGAATGAGAAGCCGGTGCGTTCGGAAAGGCAGACTGAGCCTCCTCACCAGCTCCTGCAGGCCAATAAAGGCTGCTTCTGGTGGAGCGAATGAGCACAGCAAGAACTGGGACAGACCGGCTGCTTAGGAACCCACGTGACGGGCAGGTGAGGCCCGGCGTGGTCTCCTCTCTACTTCCCGCCTCCTCCTCCCCAGCCGCCCCCCCCCCGCTCCTGTCCCCCTACCCGCCTGAGGCCCGGGCAGCTTTCCCCTCCGAACCCACTGACCTTGAACTGATCGACCCTCTCGAGCTTTTCCAAATCCGGGACGAGCCTCACTCCGTCTTCCAGAGTTTTCAGGAATTCCACCTGGAACTCCACCATCTCGGTCAGATTCCCAAAGAGCACGTCCAGCTGGGAAAGAGAAGGCGTTTTTAACCGACAGCCTCTTCCTCGTTGGTGCTCAGAGGACTGGCTTCCGACGTCAGCATCTCCTGTGGCTCCCCAGTGCGGAGACTGTGTTTCCCCAGGGCACGCCTTCCCCCCAGTGCAGTGGCCTGGCCTTCCCCCCGGTGCAGTGGCCTGGCCTTCCCCCCGGTGCAGTGGCCTGGCCTTCACCCCGGTGCAGTGGCCTAGTCTTCCCCCCGGTGCAGTGGCCTGACCTTCCCCCTGCTGCAGTGGCCTGGCCTTCCCCCCGGTGCAGTGGCCTGGCCTTCCCCCGGTGCAGTGACTGACCTTCCCCCGGTGCAGTGGCCTGGCCTTCCCCCGGTGCAGTGACTGACCTTCCCCCGGTGCAGTGGCCTGGCCTTCCCCCCGGTGCAGTGACTGACCTTCCCCCGGTGCAGTGGCCTGGCCTTCCCCCCGGTGCAGTGGCCTGGCCTCCTGGCCACAGTTACAGGGTCGGAGATGCCGTGACCCCACTCGCACCCTCCCCGCCAGGCGAGCGGTCCTGTACCTCGTCCTGGGTGAGAAACGTCTCCTTCTGCAGGGGCCGCAGGTATCGCTCCATGAGGCAGTTGAGGTCCTGGGGGTGAAAGAATGTCTCGTTAACGGGTCGGAACGGCCACGGAGACCCCAGAGGGAAACCCGGTTCTGCCCCAGACTCCTGGTCCAGCCTCAGGCCACGACGGTGCTTATTAAAGGAGCGTCCGGCTTCGCAGCCACGTGACTCCGGCCCGGCCCCAGCTGCCCGGGCGGCGGCTGTAACAGGAAAGGGGCAGGTGACACGTGAACGGGCTGTGTTCCAATAAAACTTTATTAGTAAAAGCAGGCAGAGGGCTGGCCTGGGCCCGACGCCACAATTGTCTGACCCTTGACTTAAAAGATTAAAACGGCCCTAGCCAGTTTGGCTCCGTGGATGGAGCATCAGCCTGCAGACCAAGGGTCCCGGGTTCGATTCCAGTTCAGGGCACGCACCTTGGTAGCAGGCTCCTCCCTGGCCTGGGCCCTGGTTGGGCAGGAAGTAACCAATCATGGTGCTTCTCTCACATCCATGTTTCTCTCTGTCTCTGTCTCTCCCTCCCACTCCCTCTAAAATTAATGGGAAAATATCCTCGGAGGAGGATTAACAAGGAAATAAAGACACGGATCCGTGAAGGCAGATCATGCTGTTGTCACACGTAACTAACTCTAACTGCATTCTGTGTAGGAACATGTAATTATCACAGCTACAGGAACTGCTGGAAATGCTGTCATGACACATATGATAAGAGAACTGAATGTGAGAACCAGTAGTCACACAGAGAACGGAGCTGACTCCTTCCTGAGACTCTGAAGAAACATTTTTCCAAAACTGAATCCCACTGTCGTACCAGCTCAGCAGCGCTCACGGCTCCAAGGTCAAAGGTCCGCACGTGCGCTCACCACCAGCCGGGGCGGACAGGGAGGGACACAGGCCGGCTACAGCTGTGAGTTACAGCTCGCGGCACAGAGGGTCTTCGTGTATTTTACTTACTAACAGGGGTCGGTGCACAACACTCATGCACTGGGGGTGGGGGAGGGGGTCCCCCAGCCCGGCCTGGGCCCTCTCGCAGTCCGGGACCCCTTGGGGGATGTCCGGCTGCCGGCTTAGGCCCGCCCCACACCGGCAGTCAGACATCGCCCAGGGTCCTCAGTGCTGCCACGGAGGCAAGAGGCTCCCGCCACGCCGCTGAGGTCACCAGCCGTGAGCCGGCTTCTGGCCGAGCGGGGCCCCCTGTGGGAGCGCACTGACCACCAGGGGCAGCTCCTGCGTTGAGCGTCTGCCCCCTGGTGGTCAGTGAGCTTCATAGCAACCAGTCATTCCACTCTTCTGTCAATTTGCACATTAGGATTTCACTGAATAGGGTGATGGTGTAGTTTCCATGGGAACAGCGGTAAACCTGCCGTGGCCGCCCTGACACCGCAGGGAATCGCTGTAAGGACTGCTGTGCCCCCTTAGAACTCAAGGGAAACCTTCAGCCTGGGATAAAGGCCGCGGTCCGCGGGGAGGCCGAGGGCGCCGCGGTCTGTGAGACGTGGGGGGGGGGGGGCACTCACCTTCACGTAGGTGCGCTCCGTCTCCAGCAGCTCGCAGATGACCTTCCGCAGCTTGGCGGCGTCCGTGAGCTGCCGCGCAGCGGCTGGCTGCGGCCCGCCGGGGTCCTGGGGGCTGGGGCTCGGGTCGCCGGGGTTCATGTCGCCTCGCGGACTGCGGCAGGACACCGCGCCCTGTTCCGTGCTCTCCAGAGCGCAGGCGGGAAGCGGCAGGTGAGGGCCGGGCACGCGGAGCGGCCGTCTGCCCTCTGTCCCTCCCGTGTCCCCGTGTCCCCCTCCCCCCCACGCTGCCCGGCCCGGGCGATGGGTGGGCGGTCAGGGCGTCAGGACGCTAGGACTCCAGCTTCTCCAGCTGCGGAAACAGCCTCCCACCCTGGGCCGTGACACCCGGGACCCCCGTCTCCATGGGTCAGACTGGGTTCACGGCCTGTGGCCCTTCCCGCGCCCAGCGCTGCCTCCAGACTGACCAACCAGAGCCTCTGGGGCGGCCCGCAAGCCACACGTCCTAAAGCGCTCCGTGGCCCCGGCCGGCGAGGCTCAGGGACTGAGCATCGTCCCAGACACCAAAGTTCCCGGGTTCGATTCCCGGCCAGGGCACAGGCCCAGGTTTCGGGCTCGATCCCCAGGGTGGGGCGTGCAGGAGGCAGGTGGTCAATGATTCTCTCATTGGCGTTTCGCTCTCCCTCTCCCTCCCTCCCTCTGGAATCAGTAACACTGTGTTGTGGCCAGAGGACATCTGACTCCATCCCCATCCGGCCTTCCCCACGGGGCCCAGCCCAGGCCATGGCCCCGGATGCAGACGCCAGCTCGGCCGTCCCCGCCCAGCACTGAGGCCACCTGGCGTCCTGGCCACCCCCACCCGGACAGGAGCTGCCTGGGGCCTCTGCACGCCCCGCCCCAGCCCACGTCCCGGGAGGGGACGGCACACAGTAGAGCCACAGCAGTGAGGGCAGAGGAGGAGCCGGCTCCCCCAGCGGGAGGGACGAGCGGTCAGTCCCTGGAAACGGGCGGCTCTCCGGTGCCCAGAGCTGTCCTGTGGGGACGGAGACCACCGCAGGGACACGGGCAGAACTCGGGGCGGGAGGAAGTGGGGCCCCGTGTCCCCGGAGCTCGCTGTCCCCGATGAGACGGCGGCATAAAGGGACCGCTCGCTCACTGCCCGCCGCCCGGCTGGACGCGGCCACAGGCCATCGCCGCCCCGATGAGCTCAGATCTAAAACGGGCCCTTTGAGTCTCCGCAGGAGCCCCCACAGCTCAGGGGTGACCCAAAATCACCGCCTCTCCAAGGCCGCCAGCCTGCGCCCCCTCCCGCCCGGGGCCGGGGCCTCCGCTGGGCGGGCGGACGGAGGGACGAGGACAGGGTGACGTGTGTCCACCGGACGTTGCTGGGGGTCCGAGCTCCGGACACAGCCGGGGAGGCTCCACTGACCCCTGACCCCTCGCCTCCCCCTCAGAGGCCAGCCTGTCCCGGGCCCAGGTGGGGGCACAGACCCTGTCCCCCCAAACCCTGGCTCCGCGGGACCCAGCGCTTCCCCTCCTCCTCCTCCTCCTCCTCCTCCTCCTCCTCCTCCTCCTCCTCCTCCTCCATCTGGAGCCGCACCTGGAGGAGGGAATCAGCCCAGAGAAAGAGCCGTCCCTGCCCTTCAGAGAAAGGCTCCAGGTGAGGGTCCCAAATTCACCTCCACCCAGAGCTGGCGCCCCGCCCCCCCGCCCCCCTCCCCATCCCCCACACCCCATACACACTCCTCGCACTCAGGCCCCGGGCACCAAGCAAGGACGGAGCCGCGGAGCACCCCCCAACCCATGCTCACTGGGCGGTGGGACGGATGGACAGCGCCCCGGGCGGTCCCGGTGCAGCCCCGGCGGGCGCCTCCCCCCCACACCCGCGGCCCCACCCGCCCGCTCAGCCTCGCGCCCGCGCCCCGGGCCCAGCTCCCTGAACCCTCAGCCCCGGTCCCGGCGCTTCCCGCAGGAGGGGTCCCGCAGGCAGGGTCACCGGGAGGTCATGCTTGGATGGCACAGCCCGCACCCCGTACCCCGCACCCGCACTCACACCCGCACTCCGTACCCCGCACCCCGCAAAGTGCAGCGGAGGACCGGGCGGCAAACCTGGAGCAGAGCTGAGCGGCTTCCCGATGCTCCTCTCCCTCCTCTCCTCAGACCTGGATCAGCTGACCGCCCGCCCGCCCGCCCGCAGCAGGGACAGCTCCACCTGGAGGACCCCTCCCCCTCCCCCTCTCCCCTCCCCCCTCCGCCCCTCCTCTCCCCGCGCCCACCCCCCAGCAGGGGCAGCACCACAGGCGCTAACAGCCTGTTTTCCTGTTTCCCTGGAACCCCATTGTCAGCAAAGCCCTTCCTGAGGCTTCAGGATGGGATCAGAGAGCAGAGGGCTTCAGACTGAAAGTCCTATTTCCCCAGCCCGCTCGCTGAACGGAAACCAAACCGCCGGGACACACACACACACACACACACACACACACACACACCCTGCAGACACAGCCTCCGGCTCCTCACATCCTCCAGGGCCAGGACCCCGGCTCAGAGGGAAGGGGGCGCTCACAGAGGGAGGAGGGACCACCCACCCCACCCCACCCCAAACCCCATCCCCACCCCCATCCTTACCCCCACCCCCACCTCCACCTCCAACCCCAGGACCTGCCACTCTGGAGCCGCCCCACTGGCAGCTCACAAAGAGCTGCTTGCTCAGCCCCGAGAGGCTGCCTGGAGCAAAAGCTGTGATTTCTAAAAAAATGGAAAACCTAAAATTCCAACACATTCTCTCTGTCCTGCCCAGTAACTCTCAGAGGTAGGCAAGGCGGGGCAGATGGGGGACGTCTGTAATCATGTCAACAATAAAAATAAAATAAAAAATAAAATCTTGAAAATTAAATTTGTAATGTTACTGTATGTGACGCAATATACAGATGACATATTAAAGACTTGTACAGCTAAAGCCTATGTTATTTTGTTGACCAATATAACCACAATAAAGTCAATAAGAAAATTAAAAACATGAAATTCCAGCACGCCTTCTCTTTATCCTGCCCAATATCCCTTAAGACAATTAATTTAGGAAAAAACAGCAAAAAATATTAAACCAGCAGCTGTCACATATTTAGCCAGGATTAAAAATGATGGTTTTCATTCATAGGTTTACTAGCGACCCCGTGCACAAAAATTCACGCACTCCGGGGGGGGAGGGGGTCCCCTCAGCCCAGCCTGGGCCCTCTGGCAGCCCGGGACCCCTCGGGGGATGGCCACCTGCTGGCTTAGGCCCATTCCCCCGGGGATGAGGCCTAAGTGGGCAGTCAGACATCCCTCTGGCAGCCTGGAGCCCTCCGAGATGTCAGATTGCTCCCCGGGGAGCCGCCTAAGCTGCGTTTAGACACCCTTAGTGCCCCCAAGGAGGTGGGAGAGCTCCCGCCACCACTGCTGTGCTCTCAGCCATCAGCCCGGCTATGGCTGAGCAGAGCTCCCCCTGGTGGTCAGTGTGTCATAGCGACCAGTCGTTCCTGGTCGTTTCATAGTTAGGATCAATTTGCATATTACCCTTTAATTATACAGGATTGGTTTCTATTATTTATTCATTTCTACACCCAACCTGCTGCATTCAAGATCACCCTTCCATACTTGGGCAGCCTCATACATAAAAGTTTTCACTTTATTCTCAAGGAAAATTGTACACTGATATGAGACGCATCAAACAACTATTTAAGCCTAAGCGAGAGAGGTGAGCTGTGCTCACGCTGTTTAAATCATGAAATAAGACCTGGAAAGCGTAGGCCTCGGGAAGAGAGCTGGGCACTCACGGAGCCTCATCACGATGAGCTCTCAGCCCGCTGGTTAGCGGTTCCCTCCCTCTCAGAAACCCGGCTTCTGCCGGGACCGGTTTGGCTCAGTGGATAGAGCGTGAGCCTGCGGACTGAAGGGCCCCGGGTTCGATTCCGGTCAAGGGCATGTACCTCGGTTGCGGGCACATCCCCAGTGAGGGGTGTGCAGGAGGCAACTGGTCGGTGTTTCTCTCTCATCGACGTTTCTAACTCTCTGTCCCTCTCAATTCCTCTCTGTGTAAAATCAATAAAATATTTAAAAAAAAAAAAAAAAAAAAGAAACCCGGCTTCTGCCCCGGCTTCTGACCGCGGTGGTCCCGCCAGAAGGCAGTTTGGAAAAGCAGGAACACACCAGCCTGGTTTGGCACCTCAGAGCTGTGTGAGCGCCAATAGGCTGCTTAACGTCTCTGTTGCAATACTGTCCTCTATAAGCAGAGGAATAACTATCTTCCTCTCGGGCACTGGGGAACAGTGCCCCCCACATACCAGTACTCGTCTCGGTTATCATTTGTTTCTTAGCTGGAGGCCTGATGCACAAAGCCCCTGCGAGAGCAGGCCTTCCCTCCCTGGCTGCAGGTGCCCGGGGCCCGGCTTCCCTCTGGCACCAGGACCCGGGCTTCATCCAGAGGGCTGTCCGGAAGGACGTCCAGTCTAATTAGCATATTACGCTTTTATTATTATAGACACTTTAATGAATTTTAGATAGAGAGGAAGGGAGAAGGGGAGAGAGAGAAACATCCATGATGAGAGAATCATGGATGGGCTGCCTCCTGCACGCTCCACACTGGGGTTCCAGCCCACCACCCAGACCTGTGTCCTGACCGGGATTCGAACCATGACCTCTCGGTCCATGAGCCAACGCTCAACCCACTGGACCACACAAGCCGGCTCCTTACTTATTAGCAACACCCAGTAAGACTCTTCGGCTCCATGTAAAGCTTTTGCTTCCAAATGTCCTAAGCCAGAAGCTTCATTCACAAAAGGCGACTTTAGATACGGAGCTTGGGTGGCCAAACAACCAAATAAAGACAAACTCTGAATAAACACGAGCCGGGGAGTGAGAATCCATGGCGCCCGGCCCGGGGGAAGGAGTAAGAACGGTCCCATCAGAGCCTCAGCCCTGAGACGGCGCCCACCCCAGGCACACCGGACCCTCCGCAGGGAGCCGGACAGCGGGCGCCCCCCTCCGGCCGCGAGTCCGCGTCTCAGCACCGCCTCCTGCGCAGAGCCGCGGAGTCACAGACGCCGCCGGGGTCGGCGGGCAGACGGGCCTCTTCCTTCCTGCTCCCCGGCCCCATGACTCACGGCATCTAACGGAAACGGCCCCAGAACCCACCGGGCAGGCACGGGCGCCCACGGGAGCACAGGCCCACGTCAGAACGGGCCGCGGCGAAGGCGCCGGGCAGGAAGCAGACGCGCTCGCAGCCACGCTGCAAAGCCAGAGCTCGCCCGTTATTCTCCACAACAAAATAACGGCATGAGCACCTTCAAAATGCCTCCCCTCGGCACGGGAATGGCTGTTTCTCTAGAGCGGCTGGCCCTCCCCCACAAATAGAAGCAAAAGTAAAGGAAGGGCCGCAGCTTAACCTGCAGCAAATCCCTTTTTTATAAAATACCGAGGCCCAATGAGCGACGTTCATGCAGGAGCTCAGCCCTGGCTTCGACCGGAAGGCCATCCGGAAGGATGTTCGGCCGTCCGGTCTAATTAGCATATTACGCTTTTATTATTATAGATTTTTAGAAATTTTTATAGAAAGAGAGACAGAAACATCCATATTGAGAGAGAATCATGGATCGGCTGCCTCCTGCACGCTCCCAACTGGGGATCAAGTCTGCAACCCAGGCATGTGCCCTTGGCCGAAATCGAACCCAGGACCCTTCAGTCTGCAACTGCCGCTCTATCCACTGAGCCAAGCTGGCCAGGGCAACAAAATCTTATTTGCTCTTCCAGGGGGAGGGAGCTTTAAGTGAAATGCATATCCCATTCATCTGTTTTATTAAGTCATCCACGCACGCCTCTCAGTCTGAAAATATTAAACTTATAAATCTTAAAACTACTTTATTACTTAGTTATTTTTAGCATGAGTGACTAATAGCAGCATGTTAGAAATACCAACCCTTTCTTATTTTTATTTTTTAAAATACGTTTTTATGGATTTCAGAGAGGGAAAAAGAAACATCCATGATGAGAGAGAATCATGGACAGGCTGCCTCCTGCACGCCCCACACTGGGGATGGAGCCCGCAACCCGGGCCTGTGCCTGACCGGGAACCGAACCCTGACCTCCCGGTTCATAGGTCAACGCCCACCCTGGAGCTACGGGGCCGGGCAAGAGGCTCACTTCTAACCGAAGCTGAGCACGAGGTGCAGAAGCCACGGCAGAAACCACGAGTCAGACACGGAGCTGGCCCACCGCACGGCGAGAGGCCGCGTCCCGTCCACAGTGACCTGTGACCTCTGGCCTGCCCTCCCGCCCACGGCCTGTCAGCATTATCCAGTGACATCCTCCGGGGGACTCCGGCCTGTGGGGAGGGCGGGCGTCCGCCACATCTCACTGACATGGGGGCGGGACGCGGGAGGTAAAATGCAAAGCTCTCACCTTGCTGCTCTGGTCCGTGTCGTCCGAGGACTCGGGGTCCAGCCCCTCGGCCTCCTCGGGGGAGGGCTCCGTGCTGCTGCCCTGCGACCCGCCCAGGCTGGGCCCTACAGGACGAAGCAGAATGATGTGGGGGGACGGGACAGTGACCCCGCAGGCCAGCCCGTGAGGGAGGCGTGCGCTCCCGAAGAGAACGCATCGTCACGCCCAAGGCCAGCCCACGCCTCGGCTCGGGATGGTCTGTGCTGGTGCTGCTCCCGTCATCCTTCAACAGGACAGCGTGTCCTCCCTGCCCACCCTGCACAGCAGGAGCCTAACGTGCACGTCCACGGACGGAGGAACCACAGGCCCACCCTTCGTCTTCCCGGATGTCACCCCCGGGTGCGCCCCCGGGCCCGGGCCCGCGCTGTCTCAGAGCAGGCCCGCGCTCTGGCTCGGAGCGCCTCTGCTGCCCCGTCCTGTGCACACACCGCCCTGCCACCGCCCTCAGTCACAGACCGGGAACGGCAGGGAGCGGGCAGAGGGATACCGGGCGGCCGCTCCCCACGCCCGCCTCCCCGCCGGTCTGCCCTGAGCCCGGAGACCCACTCCAGACAGACTGGTCCACGCGCGGCCACAGGACCAGAACCCCCTGCGTCCGCACTCCGGACGCCCGAGGCCGGTCGGCCTGGCAGGCTCGGTCCGGAGGGGCTGGCCCAGGGCACAGTGTTCAGGACGAAGCGGTCACAGACAAGCGGACACGCAGTGCGGGTGCGGGCAGAAGACCCGGTGCCCGGGGCGCCCGGCCCGCCGGTCACTGAACCGAGCTCTCTGTCCGGAGGAGGTGACGGGACGAGGACAGGCACGGAACACACGGGGTCCACAGCCACGAACGTATTCCTAAAGCAGGTTCCAACGCTGAAAGGCAGTCTTTATTTTAAAAAGTATAATGAGAAATCTGTGCCCAGCCCGTGTGGTTCAGTGGTTGAGCATCAATCCAGGATCCAGGAGGCCACGGTTTGATTCCTGGTCAGGGCACAGGCCCGGGTTGTGGGCTCGATCCCCAGTAGGGAGGGTGCAGGGGGCAGCCGATCCATGCATGATTCTCTCTCATCATTGGTGTTTCTATCTCTCTCTCCCTCTCCCTTCTTCTCTGAGATCAATAAATATATATACTCTAAAACTTTAGTGAAAATTTAAATTTGCAAAGCACATACACAGTTTTTAAAGATAAAATACACCATAACAGTGTCCTCTTCACAGGAACAGCTTGGGGACCCCTGAGTTGCAGTAGCATGGGGTCAGCAAGCTCGGCCCTCAAAGGGCTGGTCAGTCTGTCACTTCACAAACAGGAGCCCCCTCACAGCCCCTCCATCTGCCGGGGTTGTGGGGAAGGGGCCCCAGGACTGGTTCCCATCAGACTGGTTCCCACAAACACACGCCTGAGCCGGACGCCACAGGTGGGTCAGCCGACCTCTGCCCCCATCCAGGAGCCCGGGGTCAGGCAGGGAACTGGGGAGAGGCGCCCATCTGCCTGCAGCCCGACCCCCAACCTCAGGAAACCCTGGAAGGAACGAGCCTAACAGTCCTTCACTGTCATTTCATTCCAGGCACCTGTCTGAGCCCAGGCTCCGGGTGGCGCCTGCCACCTGGTGGTCACAGGGAGGGACAGCGCGTGGTCCCAGCCCTACAGGTAAAGGTGCAGGGCTCAGGGAGTGACATCCTACAGGTCTGATGGGGCTTGGGCGCGACAGTGACCTCACGGGTCAAGGCCCTCAGCAGTAAAAAGTGCCCGAGAGCCTGAACCTGAGCAAGAGGCCCCTTCCCGCCCGCGCTGCTGCCTGCACTCAGACTTTGAAACTGAAGACTTTTTCTTTAACCCGAGTTTTTAAAAGAAAATAAATTCAAAACCCCGGCCTACAAGATGGAGCCCCACTCCAGCCCTGGGTGGTGGGGACCCTCTCACTGGGGGACCCCCTAGAAGAGGACAGGCCAGCGGGGAAACAGGCTGCACACAGACACACCTGGGGAGCCGGTACCCAGGGATCCAGAGTGGGGGGCTCACCCCGTGGGGACTGTGCAGCGAAGAGCCCCAGAGACAAGAGAACCAGCCCTGGCCGGTGTTGCTCAGTGGGTAGAGCATCGGCCTGCGGACTGAAGGGTCCCAGGTTCAATTCCGGTCAAGGGCGTGACCTTGATTATGGGCACATCCCCAGTGGGGGGTGTGCAGGAGGCAGCTGATCCATGTTTCTAACTCTATCCCTCTCCCTTCCTCTCTGTTAAAAAAAAAAAAGTCAATACAATATATATTTCTTAAACTTAAAAAAGGAAAAAAAGGACCAACAAGAGATCAGAGCCCCATCCACTCGGGCGTCGCGTCCTGTCGCTCAGGAGCGGACGTGGCTGGGGTGGGACGTGGACAGTGAGACGTGGACAGTGGAGTGTGGACGGCAGGGGGCGGCTCAGCCCAGCGCCTCCGTGACTCCTGGATTCCGTGTCCCTGTCTCTGCCCGCAGCCCGAGCAGCGGCCTCTTCCATCGTCCTTCTCAGG